TGAATTATTAAAAATCACTAAAATTCTTAATCTATAATTTCCCCTAATTTTATTAAATTCTAATATTATGTTTTAATTATGTTTTAAAATTACTTGAGGCAAGTATGTAACTTCGGGGGATTTTGATATGTGTGAATTTGGGATAAAAATTATCTAATTTTTTTTTTACTAATTTCTCTATTATTTATTCATATTTATTTTTTTTCTGAGTATTTATTTTGCATATTGCAGGATATAAATATTTATGAAAGTTTTGAAGAGCACTCAGGATCTATTGGAGTGAATTAGAAGAAAGCCTATTCAGACACGGAAACAAATGGAACACCATAACCTAAATGCTCGGTGGTGCTTAAGCATTAGCTTTTGAGCACCTAGGAACCACCCCTACACTCAACATGCACAATTAACATAGTAGAAACCCTGGCACTCACGAACTGACTCTGGGGAGAAGATGGTTTCTATCTGTGTGGTGCCTTTGTGGTCACAAAAGGTACGATCCTTCGTGAAGGAAACATCTCTCGACCATTTGGAGGATCACAAAATTTTCTCTGATTTTCCTGTGAGTCTCTATGAGTGAGCCATTCTGTGAGAAAGTGTATGAGAATGCCTTTTCTGTGAAGGAGAGAAGATTGTCCGAGCGAATGAGTGAGCATAAGGGACAGGAGCAGAGAACATGAAGTTGCATCATTTGTCAAGGGTGAAAGCTAGGTTTTTCTTCTCTAAGATTATTGTGTGTTTATCACTTTGAATAATTAAATGTATTTGTTGTTGTTTCAAAGTACAAATAGTCACTAGTTTCCTTTTCTTCCTTGTGTTGGTGAGTATAAATTCTAGGGTTTGTGATATTTTCATGTGACTTTCTTAAACCAATGTTATGGTGGAATTTTATCCTTCAATATTTCATTTACTTTCAACCCGACTAGTTGAATAGTTAAAACATGTAATCTTTGGGATTCGGGAGAATCCATGTAGAACAACTAGGATAAAGTTCATTAACTAGGAGAATAGGGATATTGCTCTTAGCTAAGTGCTAACTTCTAGGAAAATATTCATTCTTTGGGGATTTAGTCAGACTTAGGGAGCTAAACTGGTTGATGACCTTAGCTTGCTTATTTCTACCAGGAAGGGTTAAGGAAGATAATTATTCTTGATAGTCACAATCTTAATTGTCACTTTGTAACCCAAGGTTTTTAGGATTTAAATCAAGGGAGATACTTCTCTTTCTAGATTTATCTCTCACAATTAAATTGGAATTTTAGGCATACAAAAAAATTAGGCTATAAACTTTCAAAAACAACTAAAAATTGAGCATTCACAATAAATTTGAAACAATAAGTCTAAACATTTTTCACATTTGGAAGTTCACACGTTCCTTGTGGGATTGATACACTGACTCTATTATGTATACTATTTAAACGACATATATACTTGTATGATTCACCAGTACTTCACATCATTTGGTTCATATCAACAGTTGCACTACATGTGGGTTGATAATAAATCTCATACGCCACATGTGAATGATAGGAATAATTGTTATATAACTCCAACTATTCCAAAATTTAAGTTTGCTCTAATAATCTTTTAAATTTTTTTGTAGGAAACCTTTGAGCAGCTGAAGGAGACACATACTTGGTGCACAAGAGAACTTATCATCATGGTTCATGATTAGTCTAATTATGAGTTATGAAGAAAGTGTGTTGGGGGACAAGAAAAAAGGAAGAGTTTAAGGATTGGGTCCACACGCACACATGTACAACGCACATCACTACCTTGTTGCATTCAATGTATCTACTTTTACCACCCAAGAAATTGAGGTTTGTAGATAGGTTGTCACATTCAATGTTGATATAGAGACTTGATTTCTTGTTAAGCCCGTTGAGATGAAGTCTGAATTGGAGGCCAAAATGAAAATGGAGTTAGATGCATTGCAATCTCAAGCACGTCAGAGAGGGAAACTGTTGGTAGAGGAGGAGATCAAGGAGGATGAAAATGAGTATGATGATGATTAGAGATATTTTTATTTATTTATTTATGAAACATATTTACAAGTTTTTCTTATGTATGAACATATTATTTCATTCTATGGATCAATGCATTGCGATTATTTATGTTTTCAATTTGTGAATTCATTCAAGTGGTTTTAGTTTAATACATGTGGATTGGTAATTATATACTATGATATACATTGAATTTATTTTGTGATGTGATTGCAACTGAGTATATTGTAATGGAAGAAAAAAGGTTCTTTATTTTTTTAATGTAGACGTTTCTGATGGCCATCCAACAGCCTTGTGATGAGCTATCAATTTACAGAACATCCGATGGCCATATGACGACCATCTGACGATTTTGCGATGGGTTATAGATATAAAGAAAACTGATGGGGTTAATGTACTTACGAGTTACCGATGGTTATTATTTTGACATGAATCGACTGATAGGACCAATTGTTAAGCCGACGGACTATAAAAATCATTGGAAATGTCGTATGGTCGGGAATTTTTGGCAAACAAAAAAGCAACACCTCATTATCTCTCAGAAAACCAATTCTTTTTTATAAACCTACATATTTTTTTTAGTTTTGAACGGTTTTTGACCGTCAGAAATAGCTTGAATTCATGTAGTGTCTAAAGTCGCCTCTAGCATTTGGCTATTAAGTTGAGTAAGGTCGTCAGAAAATGAATTCTTTTTTATAAACCTACATTTTTTTTTTAGTTTTGAACGGTTTTTGACCATCAAAAATAGCTTGAATTCATGTAGTGTCTAAAGCCGCCTCTAGCATTTGGCTATTAAGTTGAGTAAGGTCTAAAAGTTTAAATGGTTTTCTTTTTACTCTCAAGAAACTTGCCTACATGGGTTAAGTTTCCTACTTTTTAAATGAGACGAGTTCATTAGATGCTATTGGCTTGCTCATCCTATGTCTGAATTTGCTCATTATATCAATACATATGCATATACACATTAATAGCCGACAAAAAATATGAACACTATGAAATAAAACAAACCAATAATATGAAGAGAGGATTCAAAGATATTTTTTCTTTGTTAACCATGTTAGAGATTTCCATGTTGCTTAGCTCCACTCCTCACATAACTTCTCTTCTCATCTATGGCATAATACATTCTCACATGATATTGAATCCGAAATATCAATGGTCACACACCATATTAGTAGAGCTTATAAGAGAAGAAAAAAGACCCCATTTCCCTCGAAGACTACTTCCCCTATTTATAGGTTTGGGTATAGTAGTGCCCAATGAAGGTTACATAAATCACCATACAAAGAGGACTCAAACAACTTAAAATATGATACAACATCTTATGCTGTTCCTAATGATATCATGGGAATATGAGACCAACTCACGAGAATACATTCGCTTGTCGAATTAAGGTGAGTCAAAGCCTTCTCAAATTAAAATGAGTTGATAGAAGTTGTTGAGTTGCCTTCTTTTATACGTGCCGCCATGCTAAGGTGGCTTAAATATCTCGACTCTTAATTAAAAATGCTACGAATACATCATAACCAATGTTTTTATTTTTTAATTCATAGATTTTGCTACAAGCACACCATAATCTATTTTTTTATTTTTTTTTAATTCATAAATATCTTTCTTTTTATTTATACGTGCTGGCATGCTATGGTGGCATGCGCATGGATTAAGAATGCATTTGTAGCAAATTTTAATTTAGTGTGAATTTAATTTACTAATGAATTATTGGAACATAATTAGGGTAATTTGTAGGCGAGCAGTATTTACATATCTAACACTTAAATTTTACTTTCTTACATTCGTACACATTTGTACCACCCAAATCTTTCGTATCACATCAAAAATACCACCATTTTAACTTAAAAAATATATGAAATCCACCATTTCATGCATAGACAGTGGTGTGTATGTAAAAATTAAAATTTAAGTGTTGAGATTTAGATATGTAAGAAAATAAGTTGAGGAATATTTATGTAAATATATTTTTCTTCATCTAATTAGCCATAGTTATTATACGTTTTATAACAGAGCAATTTTCTTTATTGTTATTATATTATCACTTAGGGCCCGTTTGGGACAACTTATTTGATGCGGTGACATTTTGAAAACGCATCTGATCTGTTTATGTTTGAGTAAACTGTGTTTTGACAACTTATGCATTTTCAACGGCTAAAAACAGCGTTTTCACACCACACCTTTCTAAGTACAGTGGCAGCTTTTTAGCTGCGGTCTGAATTTTCCAAAAATAAAAATTTATAATAACCACCGTATCTAGTTTATCAACAGATTATTTTTAATCAGTTTATCAGCATATTATTCAATAAACTATAGTTGCCCCAAATAGACCCTTAGTTTCCAAAAAAAGAACATCACATATTTCATTTTCATACAGTTAATTTTGTTACTTCTCCCGATTGATTGTGTAATGAAGTGAAATTGCACAAAGCAACGAGTCTAAATTCCAAGAATTGTGATAAAAAAAGTAAATTTTAAACTTACAAAATGTCATACATATATTTTGTGTATTATATTCTAATATTTACATAAAAAAAATAGTCTTTAATATCTTCTTTAGATTTAGTACATTTTGAATAAAAAGTATTAAATTTGATATAAATTGGGAAAATATCATATTTTATTTTTCAAATTCTAAAATAATCAAAATATTTTTTGAAAAAAATTGGAAAATATAAACTAAATACAAAAAATAGCTCAAACATCTTAAGATTAATTTTTAAAATCATTAATAATTACCATAAATCTCACATCTTACACAACTTCCAAAGCAATTATTCGCTAATATAAATAAATCAAGTGTTCGACAAATAACTCATTTACTCAGATTGATAAGAGCTCATTCATGATCGTCTGATCAACTAATCTAACAACGAGTTTGAACACTTTCATTAATACTATATTGATAAAAGGATATACTTCAAACTCATTAAAAATCTCAATTGAGGATGGATTGCAAATATATATATATATATTATATATTTACATGCTTCTGTTTTAGATTAAGATATTGGAATTTTATATGATATGAATACTTTATCTTTCCAAGCAACCTACTCATATAATTTTCTTTAATAAACATTAAACAAGTTGAATTATTACCTCTAATTTATTTGGCAGTCGCCATAGGTAGAAGGATGCTTGTAAATGTCCATTGTTTTTAAACTGATTAGTAATGGGGCAGATCAAATCATGCCGTTTTTCTCTTTTCACCAAAAAATAGCTTCCAGCCATAGGTATTGCCTTTACTGTTTGCAGCCTTCAAACGATTTGCACCAATCTGCAACAAGATTTAATCAAAAATATGTACATCAGAACAATACATGGATTACTTTATTTAATTGGCAGTGTTCCCATTTGGGGCAGCTTATAAGTGGGGGCGGTGTTTTGAAAACGTCGCCTCATTGTTTGGAAAACACGTTTCGACAGCTTATTTGAAAACGAAGTTGGGTTTTTACATTAAACGCAGGCCGCGGGTCGAACTCTGCGGGCCGCGTTTCAAGATAAGCTGCCCCAAATGCAATGACATCAAAATCGTGCAAGAATGGCATTGATTGTTTAGTAAAATTAACCTCTTAGCTTCATCTTAGATGACCTGTACCATTTTGCTTTTATTATTAGTGCATTTCAAAAGCTGATTTCTCAATTATAATTGCTATTATGCTCTCTCAGAGTCAATTTTTCTAAGAAAAATTTTAAGAAAAATTGAGGGAAAACTATCCAATTTGTTCCATCCGTCCAAACAGGGCCTAATTTTTAGCATTCCATAAATTTAAAGGTTTTTACCTTGTCCATTAACCAAAATCCAACTGTTGGCATGTATTGTGCCAAGTACATAACCAGCAAAACAGGCTGCAAATATTAAGCAGATAAACAGGATTAGAATATAAGCCATATCAGTTACCCTCTCAAAAACATGAATGGATAGTTACATACAGGGTACTCAAAACATTGCAATTTATAAAACTAAAAACCATGTGATTGTTTTGAACTACTGAATCAATGCATTCATGCATGTCACGGTCAAATCATTGGGAATTTGATAAAAATGAAAAATATGGGATGGGGATTTACCGTGAATTTTTTATATTTGAGTGAGAATTTGATATAATGAATGAAAGAGGGTGTTAGATTTGTGATGGCAATGTTTTGAGTGCTATGTATGTAAATGTCCGAAAAATAAATCATTAGTTGGCATATTAAGAAAATAAGAATTACATGGTATGATATCCAAGCTTCCTTCAGCCCATGGGTTGCTGCAACAATAGTAAGTTCTGCACATCTTTCTGAAGATACACGCCTCTGTCAAACCAAAAAGGGAAAGAAAAAAAAATATATCAGGCATCATTCTATAGTCTAAAGCATTGAAGTAGACGGTGCAGAGGAATTTGGATTTACAAAAACAGCCTTTCGTTTTGTATGCCATAAAAGTAAATAATGCCACCGAACAAAAACAATAGAAAAAGAAAACTATTTGAATACAATGTAACAATATATATATATATATATATAGTATAATAGATTAAAAAAGATGGCTCTGCTAGAATTTACTTTGGTCGCGACTCCATGGCGACTTGAGTAGCCCTCGATATCTTTATGCCGGAACAAAAACGTAGCCTGTTCGTCGCCTTGTCGTGCTTGATGAAGAATGGTACGGGCTCGCATCGAAGCAGTTTTGTCGCCTCGTTGTGCTCAAAGAAGAAAGGTAGGGGTTCGCATCGAAGCAGGCTGGTCACCTCGTCGTGATCTATGCGAAGAAGTAGACATCTCCTCTACTTGACAACCCCGCAACAATTATTGCTGATGTTGAGGGCTTCTCTGTTGTTCTACAGTTTCATTCTCTGTTTTTTGTCTTCTACTTTGATGGCTACTGTTCTTCCCTCGAATCAGTACATAGGCAAAGAATCTTTTGTTGAGGCACTTGGTAAGAGTCTAGACCCTGAGAAGACTATCGAGCATGTTGTGTTTCCTCAGATCTATCATGAATCTCTTGACGGGAAAGCCAACTGTCTGTTTGTTAAGAGGACTTGTAGGAACAAAAGTTTCCGCGATTGTAGAGAGCCAAACTGCATGATTCCAACATCGAAGGCTCACAAGAGTTGCGTATTAACAAAGTTTTAATAATAATAACAATAATAATAATAATAATAATAATAATAATAATAATAGATAAGTGAAAAAATAAATGAAAAATAAATAAATAAATCAATCAAATAGGTACTAAGATAAGCACCCATTTGGTTACGACTTAAGTGTAATATTGCTCATTCGAACCAAAGAAACAGATGAGCGAGAAAGTGGCATAACCGAGTGGGAGAGGAGAAACAAGTTACTGTGTGCATCCATAGGAGTTTCGATGTTTGCGTGTGTAGGAGGCGACGACGAGCCCCGACGGATCAATCCAAGAAGCAGTAGGCCCACGCACGGGAAGAAAAGACAGGGGAGCCGAAGATCGTTGTGACCTACTTGTGAAATTTTACCCGCGTCAAAATTGAAAGAAGAAGAAGATTAGGCATTGTGCTCACATAGAGGAAGAGGAAGAAAAGGAGTGGCGGGGGGAAAACTAGCCCTAAGGAGGAGGTTGCACTCGACACTGTGCTAGCCGTTAGGGAAGATTTCTGTGTTGGGTTGCGCCGAGATTGAAAGAGGAAGAAGAAGACCTTCATGGAGTGCTTGCGGAAGAAGTTGCGACCGAAGACTAAAGTGAAGAAGCTCTCATGGAAAAATTTTCTGTCCAGATTTCGGACGTAGCTCTACATGCGAACTTCAGTAATAAGCCGTCACGTGTGCTACATCACGGAGGTTAATAGAGGATTATTGAGGGGTTATTAGAGGGTTATTGTGGGGGTTAATGCAGGGGATTATTGAAGTGGAACCGCTTAGGTTTTCGGGGGTTATTGCAGGAAGTTATTGAAATTAAATTACAGAGGTTATTGGGGGTTTATTTGGGAGTTATTAGGGGTTATTGGGGGGGCTATTAGAGTGGAACCACAAAGGTTATTGGAGGGTTATTGCGACGTTATTGGAATTAATACCCCAATAACCCCCAAACAACCCTCCAAATAACATCCGTGGTTCCACTATAATAACCTCCACGGTTCCACTTTAATATTTTTTTAGGTGGGTCTGATATAACACACATTACGTTAATATTACTGGGAGTTGACACGTAGAGCTACGTCCCGAGTCCACACAAAATTTTTCCATCACTCCGGGGAAAAGGGAGATTCCAACATGCGTGAGATTGGGCGACATACCGATTATTACAAGGTAAATTTAAATTTAATCAGATTAATTAATTAAATGTTATATATATATATATATATATATATATTTATGTTTGTGTGTGCGAGTGTTTAATGCAATGTCAAATTGAATTAGGACTTTAATATAGAAATTTTGGCTTTAAAGGAGAAGAAATTGGTGAAGTAACAAAAAAAGGGATTGACCTGAAACCCTATAAGATAAATTTTAAACATTATATTACTATTGGAATTAATGATATAACCAATTAATTAATGTTATGTTATGTAATTCTGTTTTTGATTAAAAAGTGTCAAAGAAGTTGATAAATTAGTGTGATTTGAGGAAGACAAATAATCTTAAGAATAAAAGAGGGTAATGCTTTTAATAATCTTTACATATTTGAATAAGTTAACAACATTTTAGACTTTCTTCAGGATGTAATTCTTATAAGTATATGCACATTGAATTGATTTAGGTGTTAGTTAAGGAAGTGAAGTGAAGGGATAGATATTTCAGAGGTTTTTTGAAAGCAAATGTGAGTAATTATTTTTTTTATATGTATTAAATTAATGTTTATTTAATAAAAAAATTTTGTAATGTTTTAATCAATAATTTTATAATTATATGTATTTTGTGAGATTTAAAGTTTTAAGGAAATAAAATGGAAAAAGAAAAAATTGAATGTTTAATGTTTTTTAAAGAGGTAATTTGAAAGAAAGAAAATGTAAAAAATTAAGTCATTCAAGATTACCCCTAAATGGTATTTGAGGGTAACACTGGATACATTTTTTTTAGTACTTTCGAGTATATTTTTTTAGGGTACCTTCAGGTATATTTTGAGAATACATTCGGGTATGAAAGTAATCCTGTTATGATTCTTAAAGAGATTTAAATGGTAAATACTTAATGTGAAACGAGAAGGGATAAATTTAACTTGAAAGTTCAAAGTTCTATAAATAAATGAACTGTATTTTCTTTGGTCATTCACGCATAGAATGAGCACAATAATTTAATCTATATAAAGATTATAATTACTAACTAAGTCGAACTTATTGTTGCAATTAATGTTTTCTTTCAAGAAAAGAAAATTTATAAATTGATATGTCAGATAGAAGAGATTTTGTTTACAGAAGAAAAACCACAGGTGTTGTGTATTTATGATGTTAGTTTCTTTGTATTGTTTCTCTTATATAGTGTTATATTGTTTCGTATTGGTTTGAGATATCTTCAGATTATGTTGATCACGAGGAGAATGATTGAAAGTGCTTAGAAAAGAGACATAACATATTACTTTAAAGATGTACTTGACTCGAATAGATGTTGTTCAGGTACATGTTTAAATTATGTTTTTATTTCTAAAGATAATGAAATTATGCTACGACATTAAATGTTAGGTCATCCTAATTTCTAGTATAAAAAATAATTATTACCAAAATTACTTAAGAATATAAAACTGTATTTATTTCAATGTAAAATTTTTCATTCTGCTAAATATCATCGTGCATCATTTCCTTCAAAAATATATAAATTTACTACATCATTTACTCTGACTCATAGTGACATATGGGGTTCTTATAAAACTTACACATTCTAAGAAAAAATAATATGCGACTCTTACAGATGATCACACTATGTTAAATTGGGTTTATTTAATGAAAAAAATCTTAAGTAAAAATAATTTTCAAAAATTTTTACACCATGTTACACACAATTTCAAAAACATATTCAAATATTACGAATTAATAATAACCTAGAGTATTTTAAAAATAATACATTAAAGCTACTATGTCGACACTCCACAAAAATGAGATGGCTAAGAGAATAAACAAACTCTTATTGATGGTAGCTCAGACATTACTATTTACCAGTCAGATACCCAAATATCTTGGAGTGAAGTTGTTCTTATTGCCATATTTCCCATATATAGAACAACCAATATCGTTTTAACTTTGAAACATCCAATGATGTTTTTCAAAAAATATTTCACTAGAATCGGCTTTCATCTTCTCTACATTTAAATATATTTGGTTATATACATTCATTCACATTCATAATCAAGAAAAGTTAAACTTCGAGCTAAAAAATGTGTTTGTTGGATATGCTCCTAATAAAGAGGGGTATAAATATTATTGATCTTTTCACCTCATCTTCAGGGGGGACAAACATTTCTACCGAGTTTCTAGATTTTTTTCAAATTGAAGGCTCCCAAAATAACATATTCCTAACCTTCATTGTTCAATCTGAAATCCGAGATGATATTATATAAGGAGAGAGTGAGTCTAGTTTTCAAGATTTTGAAGTTTTCATAATGTTATCTCATGATGTGTGTGTGTGTTGGGGGCGGGGGGGGGGGGGGGGGGACATAATCCCCATATTCTTTGGCCATTCAATCTGAAAACCGAAATGATATTATATAAGGAGAGAGTGAGTCTAGTTTTTAAGATTTTGAAGTTTTATAATGTTATCTCAAGATGTTCAAAACAAAGGAGAAATAAGAAAAAAAAAACTACGACAATAGTACAATTTGATATTGTCTACTTGCGACAAAGAACAACTCAAATATAAGGGTCTACAAATCTTTTGCATTGCTTAGAATCCACAAACCCAAGTAATGTCCCCACTAATCATTTATCCCATGTTCAGTCCACTTCATCTTCAAGTTATGAGCCCACTAATCCTGAATCCAAGCCTGGTTCGAATCATGAGTCTAATGAGTTCAATCTTCCCATTGCATAAAGGTCTTACACCCAACATACATTATCCCATTATGTGTAATATGAAAATCTCTCACCCACTTTCAATGTTTTTACCTCACAGTTATCGTTTATGGAGATTCCTAATATTGTGCAGGATGCACTACAAATTCTTAAGTGGAAGGAGGATGTTTTCAAGAAGATAAGAGCTCTTGAAAAAATGAGCCGTGAGAATTGGTTGATCTACCTATAAGAAAGATAACAATTGGGTGCAAATGAGTGTTCACAAACAAGTATAATTTTGATGGCTCTCTAGAACGATACAAGACTCGACTGGTTATCAATGAATTCACTCCGACCCAT